ATAGAGTCGCTCACCGTATGCCCGGCTTTCACGGCTGTGCAAGAAACCAGAGTCTGCTCTGTACGTTGAGTCTGACCGTCATTAATTGGTTCTTCTACGTAATTTTTTTTTATACTTAAACATCATATCCCATAATGAATTAAAAAGTCCATTGAAAAGAGGCCTATCGTCAGGATGATTATATAAATTACAATCGCTTATTTTGTTAACCAAACAATATTCTAATTTGTTATTTTATCAGTATTTGCTATATATTTGATACAATAAAGATGAACCAATTTAAATAAATTCATTAAGATTAATATCTTTAGAACTAAAATTAATTTTATTTCTATTTTTATCATAGATATAAAATTTTTTTTTTTCTTTATTTAATTTTTTTAAATTCTTTAAAGGATCTTTTACAAACATATAAAAATATTCCTAGCCATTTTGTAGTGGTTTTAAAGAATTCATAAAATTCTCGATAGTTTCACGAAAATAAGGATAACAAATTATTTCTTCGGTGTTGGTATTTAACCGACCAATCAAATCATCTTGTTTGCTTTCATAAATTTCATCATCTATAGAATATAAACAATGTATAATGGAATAAGAAAAAATACCTTTAGTGAAAAATAACAAAAAAATAAATAAAAAAAATATAATTCATTTTTAGATTTGTAATTTATTAAAGATTTCACCAATTTTATAATAGATTAAATTAAAAAAATTTAAATCATCATCTCGAATTATATTTAATAATAAATTAAAAATATTTTTTTGTTATAAATTTTAATATTTAAATAAAATTCTGTTTCTTTTTTTATGAAAACCATTATTTATAAGTAAATTCCATAGTTTGTTGTGAAATTCTTTATACTGTTTTAGTTTGTTAATATTCTATATTTGATTTCAGGTATTGTTTCTATATTATCTACAGTTGTTGTGTATCTTTTTATAATTATATTAATAATTTTATTATTATTCATACATGGCAAAAAGTAAATTTGTTTGACTTTGTCTTTATTTTTTATTTTTTTAAATGTAATAATTGGATTTTCAAAAATTTGTAATTCGATATGGTTGTTAATTTTAATTTTAATTTTTTGTTGCAAGTCATCTAATTCTTCAATATAATTTTTTTTATTTTTAATAAAAAAATCATCAATATTTTTCAATACGTCAATATATTTTACAACCAATTCGTAATCGTGTTCAATATAAATTTTCTCTTTTAATTTGTTTATTAAAACCATTCTATAATTACGAATTTCTTTTTCTAATTCTGAAATCATGTAATAGCTTAAACGTATATTGTTATGAATTAAATTATACAAAGAACCACCAGGCTTTAAATCTGTAATTTTTTGGTTTTCTTTGATTTTAATAATATAATATTCATAAATTATATTATAATTATTTAAACTATTAATAGAAAAAGACATTTTACAATTATTATTAAATTTCTAATATTTGTGAAGAAGAATTTTTGTTAGGTTCTGTGTTTTCACTATGTGGTGGGGATTGATTGGGGCTTCTGATTTTATAGCATCTATTAATTGTTGTAACGTGACACCTCCAGTTAATCTAAGATTGTAGAGACTATCCATATTTGTATCATAACCAAATAAAACAATTCCATAATTTATAATTAAAAATATCCTAAGTAAAGAAAGAGATAGAATTGGTTCTATTCTAAAAAATAACATATCTTCTAAATTAGCTAGTTCATCTTTAAGAACACTTTCGTTAAGTTGAATAGTGTTTTCAATTTTATTTTGTAAAGATTTGGAATCTACAGTAACTGTTACTATCCAAGCGATATTTGGACTAAAACCACCTGTTCCCTTTTTACAACCAAATGATAAAATTCCATCTGATTCAATAGGTGGTTTTATACGAAATGGCATTCCTGGATCATTTTTTGGAACCGAAGAACCATCATGAGCTGTATATATATACATATTAAATGTATATTCATATGGTTCACATACAAAAAAATTTTGAACTTCTTTTGTTTTTTCATTTGTGTCAACAGGATAATCTATAGAATTCATGACTTCCCATTTGTCATTTATTCTGCTAGCTATATTTTAATTCACATTATCAAATCTAGTAACTCCATTTCTAAAAAAATCATATGTTTTGCCTAAATCTTTTTTTCTCCAAAATTCTTTATCTTTACATGCTAAAAAAGTTAAAGTAATAATAAATGGTCCTGGTGGTTTGTTAAGTTTAAAATTTCCAAACTCTTTGCTTGTAGCATTTAAGATTATCGTAAAACTAAATTCTGTGAAATATCCTCTTAATCTCATTCTAGGTAATTTAGGTGCTTTTTCATCATTAGAAGTTTGTCTCATTCTGCCCCATTTTACCAAAGGCCCTAAAGCAAAATTATCTATTGTGTATTTTGGTTTACCAATTTTTATTCTATGATCTGAATTTTTACTATCAATTTCTTCTATTTCACCTCTTTAAAAAAACTTCTATAAGAATCTACATGAGAAACATCTCTGAAAAAAATATTTTTAATATTTTCTACTAATTTTTCAGATATAGTTTTTTTCTTTCTATCTACTTCTTCTTCTGTATCACAAGGATCGATACATGGTAAATTTAATTGTGATTCACATGCACTTTTAGAGGCTAATTTCATATTATAATAAATGCCAATCTTATCGACATTATAACTATAAAATTTAGTAAAAACATCTGAATATTTTTTTTTATTAATTACTTTTCCTATTAGGATGATTTAAAACAAGCCCTGAGTTGCTTTTGAAAATAAGTTAATTTATTATTTGTATTTCCTTTTAAATCTTTTTTAATAATATTATTTTTTTGTTCTTTTTTTATTTTTGTATTATCTTTACTTTTTTTAAATTCTTCAAATGATGAAAAATTCTTATTTTTGTTATTTAATTTAATTTCTCCTATAACTTTTTCTTCTATTAGTTTTCTTTTATTTATAAGATTATCTAATGTTTCTCTAGCTTTAATTAACTTTAAAACAATATTATTTCTATCATTAATATATTTATTATTTTTCTTTTTTAATTTTTCAATTCACTTTCCAAGTTTTTCTTTTTCTGCTTCAAGAATTGAATAATTATATTCAAATGTTTTTTTATCAATTTCTTTTTCTTTTCCTTAATATATTTATTTGTTGATTTTAAATTATCTATCAATTCATTCTTTTTTATTCCTTCAGATATTTGTTTTTTTTTTGTTTTTTAAATAAATTATTATTATCTAAATTTGTTCTTTTTTTAGAATTCTTTTCTAAAATAGGGTGGTACTAATATTTTTTTTATAAGCTGCAAATATATTATTATTGTTGTTATTATTAGTTGTTTGAAACATAATTAAATATTATTTTTAAAATTTCTAAAATTCCACTATTTAAAATTTCAATTATTTTATAGTATGAAGTACTGAAAAGGATTAAAAAATCTTTAAAAATATCAGAATTTTTTTTAATTCTACCAAAGTAATAAATGATAAGTAAATTATTAAAATGATAATTGTGATATGAGCTAATTTAAATATGTTTATTAAAAGATTTGAAAGATGTTGATCATATTCCTTTTCATTCATTATGAGATATTTGAATAATAAATTATCTATTTATATTTAAAGAAGCAATGTTTTCCTCAAAGGTTTTTTTTTTATCATAATATTTACGAACTTGAGATATGTCGCAAATTTTATTTTTTAAACAGTAGCTAACAAATTTTACCCAACAATTGTTTTCTGAGTTTTGTTTTTTCTTTTTTTTTTTTTTTTTTTATTAATATAATGTTATAGTAGAAACTTTATTACAATAAACCTATATTAATCTAGAGAT